GTTAGAAACAAAGCTCAAAACTGAACGCAAAAATTATACAGAATTAGCGTTTGTGTTCCAACATAAGATAGGAAACAGAAAGCTAAATTCTCTATCCTTAATTCATCTTATTGTGCTTTGTGTAGCCACTCTTGCAGAATCAAACATTATTAACACTACTTAGGCAAAACTCCTACTGCTTTTGCCGGCAGTTTTACTCAAGTAAGGTCTGTGTGATCGGGATAGCTACTTGCAAAGTCAACAGCTACAAACCTGTTCACTGCACACCTGTCACAAATGGAGTCTGCAATGTCTGGCTTTGCAAGAACAGTCCTATTTTCAAATGCAAGGTGCTCTAATGTGTAAAGCGTAGGAGAAAATCTATAAAAGGTGCTAAGGGCTGCAAATTGTTATGTTCCATGGGAGAAAGATGTAATGGTATAAAAAACTTTGCTGGTTACTCAAATGGAATAGCAAATTTCGTATGTTGAATTGTATTAGATGTAAACATAAACTACCTGTGAATCTTTCTAAAATGTGGCACTTGGTAAACTCAGCTTTTCTGAAGGAGGGGGGTGCAGTCCCAGAAATTCAGCTTTGCCCAGGGTAGTTGGGGTGTCTGAACACTGTTTGCACTCAAACAGATGTTGTGAAAACCCACTGTGAAACGATACACACATGTTCCAGGCACAATGGAGGAAATGGGAAAATTACTTCTATAAATCTGCAGGAAGGCCACACTGTTATGGCACCACGCTGCTTCTGAGTAGCAGCGCGAATGTGAATTTTGGCACCAGACTTATGAAATAAAGGCTCAAGGAGCACAATAAAATGGTTCTCTCTGCCTTTTAGAAGCAACTAAGTATCTCCAGCCTTCCAAAGAGTATGTCAGGATCAAGCAATACATCTGTGTTGGAGCAAGGAGGGACACCAGCCTTTGAGTTTTTGTCTGCCACAAAGCAAAAACAAACTGCAAGTTATTAATGGTTCCATTTGCACTTTTTTGGAAAAGCTTTTTCAGTTTCTTCCTCTGTTCTAACATATTGACATTGCCAGCACCCTCTGCTTGGATCCCAAAGGAAAAAAAGTATTTAATATGTATTTAATGTGTGATTCTCGGAGCTCCCAAATCAATAGCAAGAAGGATCGCAGAAAACTAAGCCACTGACGACTCCAGGGTTGCAGGGACATACAAAGAGGAAGAAATCATGCCCGTGACCTTATAGCCTCACAGACAAATAGACTTGTTTCCACAGAGACTTGCCTGTCCTGTGTGAGAGAAGGCTCTCCAGGCTCCTTCGAGCCACTGCCTGAAGCCGAAGCTCCTAGCTGTTGCTCTTCTAATCCTGTTAATGCCTGTCACCATGGGAGGTGGCACTGCTCATTTGAAACAAGTGAATCAAAGGTGTAATGAGACACAGGCAACCTTTTGCCTTTTGAACTCCCCAGGGTTCTTAATTAATCCACACCTCGTAACCACAACCAATGGTTTGCTGCAAGTCTTGGGAATACAGGGGAAAAAAACCCACAGTTTAATGCATTTTAGGAAAAAAGCCTGACTCCCTGAAGTGCCAAATCAGTTGGATTTCACAAAATTCAGACTTTTCATCTGCTTATGGTATTTATGTATGCTGTGTACCTGCCTGGCTGAAGGCCAGACTGCCTTGAATCTGTTGGCCTTCCCTCATAATGGGAATACTAGGCACCTCTTCTGAGAGAGCTTTTGGAAAGAGAGATCAGTTCTTCTTGGTTTATAATCATTGTCATAAAGAGAGCTTTCCCACTGCTCAGTTACAGCAGCAAAGAAAAGAAGAGGTAAAGAGCTTTTGAGGTATCTCAGAGGGAAAAAGCAAAGGTGTTCTGATACAGATTATTCTAAAAAGAAGCTCTGCTGTTTTGCCTTCCATTGTGCAGAGATGCTGCAGAAGAAGAATATGGCTGTGAAATGCATCAGCATGTTTTCTCTATGTACCATTGCAACAACTGCTGTAGAGATTAAAAAGTACCTTGTATCTTTAGTCTGTGGGTTGTGCAGAGCACGGCTCTGGCAATCCAGGTGTTTGAATAAGTAGGGGTTTACTCTCAGTTGGTGTTGCCACGTGTTGCCTTTACAGGAATTTGTGAGCATCAGCAGCAGGTAGGCAGCTGCCATCCAGAAAACGTGTTGATGAAGAGTAAGAAAAGGAAAATTTAGCTGCCATTGAAAGCATGGGAAAGGAACGAGTTTTAAAGTCGATGCAAAACTTAATCACAGTCTAAAGATTTTTAAAACCATTTTCATACTGGATTAACGAGAGAACAGTACTGACTTCTGCAGTAATTGTCACAATCCATCCATGCTCTCTACTAGACTTCCAGCCAGGCATCCCTGCTGTCCCCAGCCTTGCAAGTTCATGCCTGGTTTCTGCTGCAGTAAAACTGCCCAGAGAAGCTTAAGCACCCGTCTTGACTTGTGAGCCTCTGTGAAGATGCTCTGCCTACATTCTGACTCTGAGCATTTCTGCAATATTCACATGTTAATGCAAAATGTAATCTACAATATCCCATTTGAACAAACAGCAATCAATCTAATACACTACAGCTCAATTACTTCCTTGGTCTCTGTAACAGGTGCTGTCAAATAAATCTACTGAATAAATCAGTCCCATTGTAACCATTAGGAAGGCTTTTATAACTGCATTTGCTGAGTGGGAGGACATTTTTCTCTCAGTTTTTTTACTGACAGTCAGATAAAAAACATACTAATCAAGAGAGACATGCAATAAATGCCTTGGAGGTGAACTCCTGTTTATACTGAGGTCTCTTAATCCTCCACTCATTTGAGGATTCTGATGCTACCACGGCAAAGACAACCAAGCCCTTTGGATCCAATCCAGCTTTCATCATGGATGGACTGGGAGATGCCTAAAATACTGAGGCTGCCTGCATAGTATTTGCACACTGAGCACCTTTGCATCATTTATGCTTTATTCTTCTATCACAGCTTGTCCTTTCTTATTCCTGGCAGGAGACTCACAGGGACCTCCAGCAAGGGCATCTGCAGGGATGGAGCTGGTCCCCATTACAGAAAATATCTCTCTATGTATTTCTGTTACGCTACTGTACTATATTTGCAGCAAAATCCATCTTTGCTTTCTTGCCACTTTAAAAAATATTGCCCCTGAATACTTCCTTCCCCATTCTTGCTCCTTTTACTTTTAAAATGTTCATCAGAATGCACTGTATTTCTTTTCATAAAGCTCCATGATCTGGAAAATGGATCAAGAGAATGACACCTACTTAATATAGGTTTTTCCCCCTGCGGGGGTTGCTCTTTTTTCCCCCAATGCTTTGCAGTAAGATTAAGCAAGTGGAAGTGTCAGCTCTTTCTGAAATGAGAACAGTGCTGGGATTGCCTGTTGGCATCGTGCAGCACAGATACAGATGCACAACAATAGAAGATTAGCAGATAGCAGCTCTGCAACCATTATTCATTTAGCTGAAATGTAAATACTGCTCCTCTGGGGGAAAAATGGAGAGGCTGCCGCGAGCCAGGCAGGATAAAGTCTGCAGGACTCCAGGGGGTTTCAAAGTTCAGGAAGCAGAAGGTCAACAGAAAGAGGGTCTCTGAAGAGACCTCAAAAAGAGGACTGAACTAACAGGAAAAGTCACCCCAGTGCCACCACTGCTTGACATCTTTGGCCATTTTCCTTTCCATGCCAGCAGCAGATGTCACTGCTCGCAAGCGACTAATGGCAGCTCTGGGGACGGTGAAAAAATGGATGTGGGAGCATGTGAAAATGCTAACCAAGACAACCCAGTAAGAGGCAAAGATACAAGAACACTACAGTTTAAAAGCCTCTACTATACCACTTCCTTCTGGGAAGCCTATATTTTGTTCTGCAAAGTCTCTATTTTATCTGCACAGCATTAAGCCCTGTGTTTTCTGGCAAGGGCTGTACATAGCTCAGTTATAATGAATGAAATGAGCTGGTAACAGTTGGGTATTTATAGGCTCCGCAAGCTGGTGCTCCAAAAAATCTGAAAGCACTTAAAAGTGCCTTTGGCTGCAGAGCAATGTTGACAATCCCTACCAGCTTGTGGGGACATTCGGGAGGAGTCACGGCAGGAACAATGACCATGGAAGTATCCTGAGCTTTGTGCTGAGCGTCTTTCAGTCCAGTTTGTGGAGAGTGAAAAATGAGTTAAAACATTAAGATATGGAAAAACAAGATTGCACGTCCAAGATTACTGTGAATATGAATATACAAGCTAAGTTCTGCACGATTTTCTGTGGAAGAGATCACTCATAAGTAAAGACAAGGCAATGAGATCATTAGTTTGCTTAAGGTAATTGAGTTCAATATTGCTAGACATAAAATATAGTGGCTTATCATTAATGACACCAGAATAGTTTTGAGGAAACGAAATGTTTACCAGACGTAAAGGTGAATCTCTTCCTGCTTCCTTGAGACCTACACTCCAAAAAGGCAGCAGCCCAGGTCTCGACCTAGCAAACCAGCCGTCGGTATCACAGAGGTTTTGTAATTACAAACTGGTTCCTGCACCACGGCGTCAATGCAGCCCAGGGGACCAAGGTACAAGGCCTATGAACTTGCCCCTGTATGAACCTGAACAGAGTTGAAGGCTCCACCAAATCAGGTTGCAGGTTGCACCTGCTCCGCAGTCATGTGTTTCCCAGCTACCTACCTGCTGATCCGGGGCTTGCAAGACAGCAAGGTCTTTCTAGGAGAATAATGGCATTTTCTGTCTCCAGTATGAGATATTTCAGAACCAAAAAAACCCAAACGTATCCAACAAGAGATGCAAATTCTCATTATTTTGCTCAATACTGAGTGCTGGCTGGGCCAACAAAATCTATAGTGGAGTCTGAGATGAGAGTAGTCTCAAACAAAGGGAAGAGGGACAATGTACATAGAGGTGCTCTCTTCAGTATCCCGACTTCCCCTAATCAATGAGCGTTACAGTGCTGCAAGCAAAGGACAGATGGAAAAACTGAGAATGTAAGAAGTACTACTTACTACAGACGAAAGGTCCATGTTTACCATCCTCCTGTCATCCAAGTCGACTGGCTGGAGGCCTGCAACGTTGATCTGGACAGAAGAGGTTCTGTATACAAACCCCAGCAGCCAGTCGCCCCTAAGAGCAGAGCAGAGCAGAAGAAGAGCGTGAATAAATCCTGTTGCCAAACCAATGCAATATGTGACAACTCAGACCACAAGGAGAGCAGAAGGGCTGGGAAGCACAGCGATGTCTGGACCAAGACCTGCTGCAGCTTTGTCTGATGTAGGAATCCCAGCAGTTGCTGAACTCAGGGCAGGGTCCTGGGACACAGTAGTGTAAGTCCGAATTTAATCCTGATTCACGGGTGTAGTCTCATTATGTGCAGCAGGTTTAAAAATCTGACCCTTCTATTTATTTCTGTATTTGCTTAGAGATTACAATACATTCACATATTTAATCTTTTTAATGTACTACTAGGTAGAAGTTCTCCAGCCTGTAGACAGCTGTAAACGTGACGAGGCCTACAATACCAATGTTGCTGACATAAATATCGACTGTGAAGCTCCTCAGAGTGTTCCTGATTTATAGGTACTGTATAAATACATGGTTTCAATGACAGAACTAGGAAGAGTTTGTTCCCACTGTAAAGTATTGCCATAAGTCACTGTGACAGTTTCAGGGTAGACTATAGCATAATGAGAGAAGGCAATGCATCCTTTGGAAATACATAACCTCTTCTCCTGCGCTGAGCAACAGCATAAAATCTGGGCACCTAAACGCCACTAGGCTCTAAGGAGTAGATTTAAGTTTGATGCAAGTGGTATTTGTACTCTGTGATGGCAGCAGGTGAAATGCACCTGCACAGGTCGCCATTTCTGGCTGCTCCTGTCCACTCCAAAATGGTCTATGCTAGAAGTTGTAAGTCTACGCAGAGCGCTGCAAAATCTTTGCAACGCATCCACGCTACTCAGGCATGGGTTCTTTCAAAAGCTGAGAGAGTCTACCTAATTTGGTTAAGGTTTCCCACTAGGAATTTGTAACCCTGCTGTGAAATTGGATGGGACAGCTCTGACAGCTGGCTTTCACTCTCCATGTCCTTTCAGACTTCAAAGCCGAAGGAGACAAGCTACGCTGGACTGAAGCTCAACAAATTGGGCACGAATCTGATCTTGCAGGAATTCTATTCAGTGTAATTCATCTGACCTAAATAGAGTTACTCCTAAAGTGACAGAACGAGGCCACAGTTTGTATAAGCGAGATACCAGAGAAATCAGAATCAGGTGAGGTCTTACCACAAAATGTTTGTATAATGTTTCTCTCATACCTAACACCCTCACATAAATTCTCCACATCTCTCAGTTACCTCCTCTAGCTGCCCCTCATGCTAACTGAATAACCCTCAAATTCAGCATCTGAGGGCAAAGTAGAGAACCAGCATAGAGGAATATTTCCTGACAATCTCCTCACCTGCTTCTTCCTATTTGTAAGCAACAAGCTACAATTTCTACATCATTTTTCATTCAACATTCAAGACACGGGCTTGCCAAAGCAGAGACTAACCGAATTACTGCACACACAGAGGTACAAACACACATACTATTTTATTCCAACAGCACATGCAGGCTTTGAAACTATAACAAGATCTTTTTTTTTTCTTTGTATTATAGGAAATTAAGACACTGAGCTTTTTGCAGCGAAATTGGTTTTTGTATAATACAGGAAGGAACAATATTTGCCAGGGCAAATGCAACAATTTCTGTCATTTATTGTTCTATGCAACAATTGCTATCATTTATGGCTTCTTAGAGGAACACAGAAGCAATCCCAAGGAGGCAGCAATTGCTTTTTCCTTATGTCACATGAAGAAATACTGTAACTGGTGTGCACATCCAGCATCCGTAAAATCTCCTGTGACCCAAAAAGGGCAAAAGCAACAATTTTCAGCCTGACAGATGGGATTAATAATTTGTTGTTTTAATCTTGAATGCTTTTAATTCTTTTATTTAGTTCTTCTTTGTAAATTAATATACTATGTTAGATGCACAATAATAGAATACTTCCTCATCTTATAGGTATGTATGTAGGCATACATACGTATGTGTGTATGGAAAGTACCAACAGCATTTTCAACTGTCCTTGACCTGAGGGCTCATGGCTTTATAAGCTGTCTTGACTTGCAGTTACATCTTTGCTAATCTTCTTGCCTGGTTATTTCTCAATTTATTTTCCCATGCTCTTAGTGTTCCCTGCTTCATTCCTTTGTTTCAATTTCCCCTCTTCTAATTGTGCTGCTAAGCAGTGTTCTTGTCACAATGATCTTCCAATACACAGTCATTAGATTTGATACTGTCACTTGAATTCTTAATAGCTTTTATAAGATTGCTTCAGCTGTTTCATGCCTCTGAATCTCCCTCTTCTCACCCAGCAGCTCTCACAACTCTGCATAGCAGTTGTCTGCGCAGTTTTAAAAGGCTGATATTTCGTTTCAAGGTAACCTTTCTATTCTTTCACATCCTTAGTAAATTTGCTACAGCTATTCCAGCTATACCTCCTTTGTAAGTAAAATATCTTGTTCATGTGGACTATCTTGACCAGAACTGACTCTATATGCAAAAAAATCTTCAATTTGCTTGAGCTCCTTCCCTTCCATTGCTATTTTCACATCTTGTTCCCCATAAGTAGCCCCTAGTGAATTGTATCTCAAAGCTTTTATAGATTTTAATTCACAGTCTTTAACTGTCAGTGAACTTAACGGACGAATTTATAGTCCTTTACATGAAGCTGGGATTTAAAGGGGCCTTAGAATATGTCAAATTATGCACACAAACACACTGACGCAGCTTGAAGCTGCCAGGGTGATATAACACTGCCACCGCATGAACAGGACCTACATATTGAGCACCTCAGGCTTCCAGTGTAACTATGCATCGCAAACAGCCAAGAGCTGGAGACAGAACAGCCTTCAAGTGCCTCCTGAAGGCTGTCATCTCCAATTAATCTGAGGGAAGAGGCTCTGGCACTGCTGTCTCCGGCGCTACTGAATCAACGTACTCACCAGCTGAACAACTATTCACTTACAAAATGTTTAAAAGGGATGAATGTACAAAATCATTTCAAAGTGACGCTAGGATAATGAAACAGGGAACTGAGCATGTACAGACCTGCAATAACCGTTTATGATCCTGCCCGACACCACTTTTGTGATAGCTTTCCAGTACTTGGCTTCTCCTTCCACTGGAGCTCCCAGTAAGACCACATCTTCTATGATCCCTTGCGAGTCTATTAAGATGAAAACAGAACAGCTCAGATTTAGAAGACGGCTCAGAAAATATATCTTTACATGTACGTGAAGGAGGGGTATGTTCAGATGTGCACTACAGAAAAATCATCATTTCTGTGGTTTAAATTTTAAAGACAGAAACAATGGAAAGGAGGATCCTAAACAATATTTTGCATAAATGTTAAGTGTCCACAGTTCCAGCTGGAGTCAGTAAATGTGAAAATTAGAGATCCTGAGACAGAGAAAGGAACTAGGCTGATGGTAAGAGGGAGAAGTGGCCTGGCCTCTGTCTAGAAAGATGCCGTTCAAGCAGCAAACCTGTGGAAAGTTCTTTCCAAGACCTATTGATCTGGGTTTGCACAGAGCTGAACTATTATGCTTTGGAACAGGTGAAAGGGACTGACATTCCATAGTGAGTAAATGTTGTCATATATTAAGCACGATAAACTCTTCCCACAACCAGTCCTTAGAGCTGAGTTCGTGAAAAACATGACCTGTATATGCAACAGAAAACCTCCAAATTCTTCATATTGATTGGGAACTAGCAACAATGAAGGCATTTGCCAACACGAAGTAATAATCTATCAAACTGGTTTGATTTTCTTGAAGGGTACTTTAACCTGAAAGCCCAGGGCATGATTTGCTGAAAAGGAATGTTGACTTTTAAGCATAATAAATCTTCCTCTCTTATCAGACAGCTGCAGCTGGGGAATTTCAGTAGAAATAATGATTGAATGAGAAATATTGAGCAGCTCTGCTACTTTCCTAAATTCCTAACCAATATATTAATATCTATTCATAAATCTCCTTTGTAAAGAGAGATCAAGCACCTGATGCCATAGCAGTTAAATGAAATTCACAGCAGTGCATGTCTTGAGAGACTCATGGGCATAGCATGCCAAATCCATACTCTCCACCTGTGGGAGACCAGCACGTACAAGATGTGAGCTAAACCATTCTCAGGCTGGCATTCACAGTTTGTAAAATAATATGCTGAAGTTTACGGGGAAGTGAAAGCGAGAATGACTGCATACCACATCAAGTTATGACGGAAAGGTGCTGTCTGGCTAGGCTTTTTAAATGCAAATCAATTGGTTTCCTTTCCCTAATAGCAGTAAAAGACTTGGAGCTGCCTGCAGTGCCTGCATCTTTCTCTGCAGTGTAAATCCCAGCACCTGACAACAATCCAAAAGAGCTCTCGTGTTATTATTTGTTATTGCAAAGCAAATTTTGCACCAATCAAGAGAATAGCAAAGAGCAATTCAATTTTGTTAGTGTAATCTGTGAGCAATAAAGTCCTGTTCCCATAATCATGGGCAATGAAAAAGAAACCCAGAGCCTTGCAAACGGGGAGCTCGTTCCAACCAAGGTACTAAATTCCATGGCCACAGTGTGAGCCAACTGAATAAACAAACAGCTAATTCATCAGGATCCTGAACATTTAGGTAAAGTATTGGAAGCTTTTGTTTCTCCGGTCCTTTGTACAGCTTATTTCTTGCTCAGAACAAAAATGTTTAGCCTTGGCTGAAAAATACTCATTTTCTTCAAATGTTGACTGAGGGGGACAGAAACCTGAGAACAGATCACGGCCTACATATTTGCTGACACTCTAAAGAAGTTAAATGTATTTTACAGTTTGCAAGTCTTTTATATGATGAAGAACAATAAAGTCTGCACAGCCGGGGCAGGGGGGAAAGGGTAATTACTGATGGGCAAAAATCAAAAACTGATTAAGACAGAAAAGGTGTGGAAGATACACGCTGACCCAGAGGCCATAACCAGTCTTTGGGAGCTGGGCTTTGCTGTGTCTTTAGGGTACAACTCACTGGGCAAAGAGGAAAGCATCTCATCACGTTAGTCCTCACTGAAAAGAGAACAGGGGTGGAATTGAGCGCGCTCTGGGCATTGTACAGATGCAGTGCCAAGGACAGTGTTTCACGGCAGAGTTTGGCAGCAGTATTCCTGATACCTAACCACAGCAGAGACGATAACCCAGTGGTGATACTGGTCACACATGCAATTCTGTAGGACACTGTGATCAGTATTAGACACATATGTAATGTGTGATACTCCTATCAGGCGCAGTATGGCTCCAAGGTTCAGGTTCAGCCCATTACCAATTTTCATTAGCTTAACTTCTTATATACCAAAACACATGGGAATCATGATGAAGAAATCAGACCAATGATCTTCCCATGTAGTAACTTGTCTCAGACTTGTCTCTGTCTCATTACTACATCTTCTGCTATAATGTCATTTTCTGGAAACCTACTAAGCTCTGGTTTCCAAAGTAATTTGTGATGAAGTATCCCAAAAGTTATTTAATTGCTTTGCAGAAGAGTATTTTCTTTTAACAGAATTTGAGTTTCTGCCATGGTGTTTCACTGGATAATCCATGATTAGTTATTTGTTCTCAGAAACGCCACTGCCATCTGGATACAAAAGGCCCGCATGACTAGGCCTTGTATTTCTTTTGTGTGAGACATCCAAGTCCAAACCCAAATCAGTCTCAGATGTCCCAGGTCCCGGCTCTATTCCTTCTGTGGCTTGCGCTGGAATGTGCATGTGAAGAACGCCTTGGCAATCTGCGCTAAACATGCTGCTTTTCATCTCGCAAACAGCTCAGCTTTCATAATTCAATTAAGGAACTGAAAAATTAGTGTACAGTGGGGAGCTGCTATGATACATAATTACAATGCTTAAATTTCTTTAGAATGGCAGCCAACCTTAAAGACCCCTAATGATTTCCTTTCACGTATTACTTAGCTAGAGTCCCATGTTATTCCAGCAAGAGACTGCAGACCATTAAATAAAAGCCTGAAAATATCTCAGCCCCTGGCATTCTTAGGACACAAAAAGAGTAGATCTAGGGCCAGATTAGGATCTGGGTGCTGGCTTCAGTATAACTCCATTAGGATCATTCTGGATTTGATTAGATTTATTTTGAGAACAGAATTCCTGTATTTGAGGACTTCCATCTTAAACCAGAAGTGAAGTTCTGGTACACAGCTGTCAACAGAAAAAATGCTGACCTTCTCCATCCTCACTTGACTCTATTCCCACCTTCTTGGACTTCCTTGAACATTTTCCTTTATAAAGCTCCTTATTTATTAGTGACTCTTTGTGAGGCTAAATGGTTAATGAATTAAATTAGCTACATAGGGGGGAAGGCAGGCTGCACGCACACACTCACTACTGACTCAACTCCAAGATGCAATTTACATCAACTGATCATAATGATTTTATTCTTTTTCTAATTTAAAAATAGAATCTATTAATAAACAGAACCACAACGGGTAATAAATTGACAGATGGTTTTATACTTGACTTTGGGGAAAAATTACCATGAAAATAGCAGATGACAGTGGCATTTCAGTGACTTAAATGGAAGGGAGGACTCAGGGAATCAGCTACAATAGCTACAGAGAGCTTCCAATAAAGGCAAAGCATCCTCTGCCAAGATCACAGTGGCGCGTGGGCAGCTCACAGACTGATCTAGTTGTCGAATGTCACAAAATGTCAAGTTGTTGTTTACAGACTGGAGACCAAACTGACACACTGGAGCACCTCGAGTGAAGACAGCAGATTTAATCCACTGAACTGGTGGAAATGACAGTAGAATTTGGCTCCAAATGCATTTCAAAAAAAAATTTTTTTTAGGTTTCTGTCCTATCCTGAAAGACCCAAGCTCTGTTCCAGAAGAACTCCTCCTCTTGGAAGAAAAACTTCTCTACCAGCAGTAAGGAAAATAAAGGAGAAAAAGGTTAGAAGGTGAATTTTACCTTTTTCTCGAGCCATTTCCTGCAGGCAGAAGTAAATGACTCTTGCACCCAGACTGAAGCCAATCAGTGTGACAGGTCGCTTGCCCTAAGAAAGAAGGAAAGGAAGAAACGCCATCAAATACTGTTCTAGACCTAGACAGAGAGATTGGCCATAGGATCCCCAAGACCCTGATACACAAAGCACTTACGCTTGTTCATGATCTTTTAAACATTCGAGCAATTTGGTTGATTTCAGAGGGATTATGTATCCTTAAAGTTATGCACAGTTCAACATTCAGAATTCTGCATCTCTGAGTATTGTATTTTTTGATACTCAGAAAATCAATTGAAAGAATCCAATGATCAGAAGTTACAACAAAGTAGATGTTTCAAACAGAAACAAAACATTCACAATCATTGTTTTGAAATTTCCAAATGAAAGTCTAATTCATGGAACAAAATATTCCTAGAAATGTTTCAATAAACAGAAGAAGAAGCTGTAATACAAAAAGATTGACTACTTCTAGATTTAAAACTGAATGGCAGGAGCACTATGTGGCTGTTATAAAAAATGATGTGGGGTAAGCTTTTATTCTGAATAGCCTAATAAGATTTTCTGTAAGATCAAAGGGAGCCTAATCTCAACAACAATGAAAAATGGCCTTTGTATTAACCAGGGAGCAGGTGTGCGATGGACTCCTAGACATCACGCTAACTAGTTTTAGATGCTCCAGCACATTGGAATGTGTGTTTTCACAATAGCGAATGCTTAAAAGGCAGTAACAAATCCCCCCAAGCAAAACAAAGGGCTTGTGTGAAATAAAGTTTATTGCCTTTCCTGGGATTGTATTTTTATGAGAAATCAAGTTTGTACTCTGCTGTTTCACATTGTTATTTACGATACGCAGCTCTGGGGCCACGGCTCCCTTAGGGCTCCTCTATTATAGATACCGGGCTAACGTGCCTGTGAGACGAACACATGGCCAGCAGAAATCAGCCTCTCTCCATGCCAGTGATAGCCCAGCAAAAAATGGCAGGCTTTTGAGGGGCAGAAACGTCTTTTGCAAGCCTTCTCAGGGAGGCTTAATAACTTCTGTCACTTCTTTCAGGTACCAGCCCATTCCACTGCTGTGTAGGCAAAAACATGGCTCACGGTGCATTTGCTGCTGCAGACTCTTCTCTTACATTGTTTTGCTAGTGTCTCTTAATAATCTGTGAATATTTTTAACACTCTGTATCCTTTTTTCCTTTTCACCTATCTTTACTTTCTGTTCTCAAATTTCCACTAGGTGAGTTGGCCTGGCTGTTTTGTGACACGGTCAAGCCACTTGTCATGTATGACCTGGATCTCTTCTTCTTCACTTAGAAAAGCTTTAGGCTAAATAGAACAAATCTTAGCAGGAATTCTCTGATTCACTTGGGACTTCCTGTTTTTCCTCAACAAACCAAATACATGCTGGTCACCTGCATGCATCATTTTTTAATTTTTCAGTTTATTATTAATTTTCTTCTCCCTGGAAAGATACCATTTGATAATTAACTAGCATGACTATAAAACTTAACCTCTGTAAGCCAAATCCCTTCCAGACATTATTCCTGGATAATTACTAGCCAATTACCTGCTGTCGACTGAGCAGGATACGGGCTAGGTGTTTGCCTACTTCAACAGACCGATGGAGACACACTCCCCAGGGGTTGTCAATGACATTGGCAACAGTTAAAAGCGAAGTTGGCCAAGTCAAGGCCGTCACAATACCTGCAACACACAAAGCAAACACCACAGCACAGTCACAAATCTGGGCTGCTCTTAGGAAACTTCAAAAGCAAGACAGTTCACTGAAGTTAAAAGCTAAACCTCAGACCTTTTGTCATTTCCAGTTCTTCTTTCTCAAGAGCTGATCTGAGAAATGTTTTGCTAGACTAAAGATAAGAAAGAATCTGATGTTCTGATGCAGAGGCAAACAGACACTGTACATGAATGTAACCTGCATGTTTGAAAGGTTTATGTAAAGCAGTAAACCACAGTGTAATAACGTAGAGGAATAAACACAGTCACGCATGAAGGAAGGTGTTTCCAGCTGTAATTTTAAAAGAACGAGTCAATGACACAGAGGCACAGCAATCCAGGAAGGCAAATCTAAATTACAGGTGTGGCAGAGAAGGTTCTCAGGCCAATTCTGCAGGGCGGTGCCAATACTGCCAAGGGAGATGCCTTCTCAGAAATCTTCCTTGTTTAGGAAAGCTCCTTTTAACAGATACCAACAGTGAAACTGCACAAGAGCCACTCAAGCAGATCTGATACGACAGTGTTTCTTACCTGACAAGACAGTGAATTTTAGGGCTTCTTGAGCCATCATGTTCACAAAACCATTCAGCATGGAATCCAAGGCATTGCCAAGCTCCATCAAGTACTTGGATTCCCAGGCCAGACAATACTGCTCACTGGATTGCAACATGCTGCTCCATGGTGCTGTGAAGCTCCCTGAAAAAGGTTGCAAAGGTGGAGTTTGTGTTCAGAGAAAACGCAACAACAGCTGACTCCTGGCAAGATGAGTCCAACAAAGAATCAGAAAAGAACCGGCAGGACGCTGGAATATACTAATATACTGTGATAACAAGGAATCATATTTAAAACTACTGTGAAATGTAGACTCCACATTTCCACTGTTTTACAATAAATTTGGGCTTTGTAAATAATCATGCAGCTTTAGCTGGCAAAGAAAAGAGTCTTCAGTGTGGACAGGCTCAGACTTCATGACCCATTCAATTGCCTCAGAGACTGCCAAGACAAATGGACGTTAACACTAATTATGTCAGGTATTAAGGACATTCCTCCCATCCTCAGACATCAGGCCAAGTCCTGCAGCTCCATCTTCTCATATAGACCAAAGGAGGGCCTGTCCTGAGAAAGATGAAGTGCTGAGTGGCTGCATGGATCGAGTTCAGTGGGACCAGAAGCACAGAAAACATGTAAGTTCTTGGCAAAATCTATCGCAGAGCATCTTCCCAGCACTTCAGTTAGATGGGCAAGGACTGCAGTAATGGCCCTGTCTGAAAACAAAGAATCTGCATTTGCAGACCCAGACTGCAGTTATTTTTACTTTGCCATCTAGGCTTGTTAGCCACTTCAGTTTAATTTTTTCCCTCCAGGTGCTAATCAAAAGCAGTGCCTGGATGTTTGAGAGAGAATGGATAATTTCCACTGTGCAAGTCTAACTTTTAGCCGAAAGAACAATTTTTAAGACATACTCTCTCTCCAACTTGTAGTGTACCTTGTACTAAGTGGCCAGGTTAGTGGCAATGCTGTTAATGGCAGATGAACTCTGAAGGGCAGAGCAGAATTTTCATCTTAATTAACTAAAACCCTTCCTTCCTTCCCCAAACGATGTAGGGCAGGTTGAGGCAGCTGCTGACCAAAGTGGCATGAGAGAGCCCCATGCCAGATTGCACCACAATGTACTGTCAGATTTGTGAACATACAGATAGGCAGCTACTGGGAGCTCAAAAATCACAAGGTAGCGAATTCCATAAAAATCCTGTCCTCAGTCCCTCTGTTTAAGGTGTCATGCAAGTGTGTAAATAGACAGACACAGCTGTAAGGAGGAAAATGGATGACAATTCTAGCTTTGCTTTTTTAAACATTATAGCAGATTGCTAGTTATGGAAGAAGAATGTGTGTCTTTTGTAACTCCCTTTTAAGGGCAAACAGACACAAAAAGGTTCCTGAAGGGACACACTTGTCTTTGTAACAGTGCCTGGGAGCCCTCCAACCCCAAGGATTTGGACCCCTGGCAAGCAGACAATGAGAAAAGCCAAAGCGCATACTGCAAAGTGAAAATAACCTTACTCTGACAGTGAGCTGCAACCTAACAAGCAACAGGACAGAGACATCCTTCTGCATTAATGATATCCAGTGTTAATTATTATGCTTCTGAATAAATTGGCAGCTGTTCAGTCACGTTGCTGAACACATCAGCAGACAGTTGACATATTTTATATGACAAGCTATACTGGAAAATAAAACACCTTTCAAGGTTGCTGCTTGTAAGTTCACCTCCTGAGTGCTGTGCTTAACAGGATTTACTTGACAGAACTTTCTTGCCAATAAACCTCATTAGCTGGCAGATACTGAGAAAGAAAAAAGACTATTTTCTGTTAATTGCTGGAGAATAAACATAAGGTCTCAGAGATAGGTGAGACACTTTGTATTAGTGCTGGAAATCATCCACCCCAAACAGTCCTTTCCTAGCAAAACCATCCAGCATTTATTAACAGAAACAACCCTGCTGTGACTACTACCAATCCTACCATCACTACCAATTTACTGCCCTCTCTCTTTCCTCTGTTTTGATTGGGATTGCAGATTGGGTTACAAAGCTTTATGTTGAGAGTTGATCTGTTTTAGTTACCAGGCCATGCAAGTGTGGGGAAGACACGGTGCTACGAGAGCACAAACACTGCCTGGAGTGGAACACAGACATGGCTCTCCAGGCTTCTCTCAGTTTCTTTGTCTTGTTCTTACCATATTTGCCAGTGCACAGCCATCCAGTAATTGCTATGGTGATATGAAGCTGCTTTCCTTCAGTAAGTGGAAGGAATTCAAACTCTTCTATGGCTCCCACACGCCTCTTCATCTTGTATCCTACACACAGCACGGCAGAAACACGAGTCTCAGAAATCACACAGCAAGGACAGACTCTGCTAACAGTAGAAGTTCGTAAGAAATTACTTGGGTAATTTGGATAGGGTTTTCTTCCTTTCCAAAACCCTCAGCAAGTCCATGTGTTACTTAGAGCTTGGTATGGAGCCAACATGATCCTTCTGAGCTTGTGTGATCTGAGGGAATCCCAGCAGAAGGCTTTTTTGCTGCAGACCAGACATCAGCTGTAACAGCCGCTGCTCTCCATGGCAGCACCTTTCTGATCCAAAGCAGCAAGCTTTCATTTCCTTCATTAGCCATATACCAAATATTCTTTTCCTACTTGGTCATCAGGGGCTACACAGCATCTTAATCAGCATTGAAATAAAAATGTAATCTCACAGTTGTAAGATTACACCTCAAATTCCTTCCCTTGCTCTGCAGAGCTCAGTTAAGTCATTAGCTCTGCATTTGCAGACATGATCCTGTGCCTCAGTAGCTGAGAAATGTATGGTCACTCTCTTACCAGTAAGGCCAGCTCCAGCTGCTCCGAAAAGCGATGCCATGACAGCAATTCCAGCAGTCGAACCTAAAGCAGCTGCTCCAGCACTTCCAATGATAGTAGCAGCTCCCGCAGCAACCAGAGGGGCAGCAAGACCCCCTGTCAAGCCTGAAGATGCAACAAGTGATATCACCAATCTCTTGTCACTTACAAAAACCAGGCAGTCATTTCCTGGTGCTGTGTGAGCACTGCTAATGCTAGTGAGAGAGTACAAATGATGGTCTTTTTTGCATCACCAATAAAGGGGCTGAGACCCTCCCCAGGCCCTGAACCTCTGCACAGATTCTTTGACTTGACTTCAGTAAAAATGAAGAATAACTTACAAGGCAAAGGAAGAATGTGTCGTAGCCTGGGGTGAGCTATGCCCTATTTGCTTAGGAAACATTGATCTAGTCTCACACTATTTTGAATTTAGAGTTGAAGATCTGATCCTCTCATAACACAAGAGCAAAAGAGGAGAAAACATTTTTTTAAGGGTGATGCCCTCAGTTTAATACTTCCCCCAGCCAGTAAAGATACACTGGAAAAACTTTTCCACCTAATTCTTTCAGTTTTATTTTATTTTCCTGTGGCTGAAAATACTTTGCTTGGATTTGGGGTTTCTTTTCTTGGTGTTTTGTTGGTGGCGGTGGTGGTTGGTTGGTTGAAGTGGCTTTTTTGGATCATCTGAAGTGACATACTACCTTCAGCCTGGCAAAGAAAAGCAGTGAATGCTTTAAAATTAGAGCTTGGGCTAAAAGGTATGATGGCTCCTGTTGCTGAATGTGTAATTCAGACACCCCTCCCTCTGCCCCTAGTGCCGCACATGCAATTCAGGAGCAAGTCTCCAAAATGCCTCGGGCAGCCTCACCAATCACTGTTCCTCCCCCAACGGTTGCCAAACCGATCAGCAGGTATCTCTTCAGCTTTTGTCGCCTTTCCTTCTTTTTTCTTGATACTTCTGCAGTTCTGTGGGGGGATTAGAAGCACAAAAGCTGACGGAAAAGCCTGACGGATAACAGCGCTGCATCAGAATCTGCTTTTATTCTCCTCAGTGTAATTTCCCTACCGGGAACAGTAAAAAGTAACATGCAGGTGTCGACTGTGACAACACACTCAGATTTATGAGCACGGACATAAACCCACAGATTTAAATTGAAACGATTTAATTCCTGACAAAAGCCAACAGATGTTACTTACTTGGAAAACCCTTCCTAATAGGGCTGAAGCTTGTAAAAAAAGAAACAAGAAGTCAAAAGCATTTCAATAACTGTATACTGCCTAGGCGTCTTAAAAAAGCACAAGAAAGCTAAGTGGAAACGGAAAAGTGTTTGAAACAAAAGGGTATAGGGGTAATTTGTGATAACAAACAAAGAGTTGGAATTAAACTATTTTCCAACAACAGTGTTTATATTGAGCCGCTTTCTAATTGCACATCACAATATAACAATATAATAGGTATTAACACAGTCATTAGTTCATTTGTCTGTGTGCATTTAAGCTACATTTTAACAAGCTTATCAGAAACAGGTAAATAAACCTAAAAGGAAAAAATATCACTAACTAGACAGTACTTTTGACTTCTCTCCACTGTCTTTGGTTTCTCTCTTACAAGAAATACTTCCCACTCCAGAGGAAAGTGCGAGAAACAGAGCATACTGGAATACGTTGTTTACAGAGGAAGGTTCCTTCTAGCCTGCTTATGCAACGGTTAATCTGGGCCTTGAAACATGAGAATTTATCTTGCTTCCAAACTTGGATATTTTCCCTCTTAATCCTAGCCTAATTGTGGATTTTCATTATCCATATAATTGCCTAATCCTTCCCGGAACCCCCTAAGCGCACTGTAATTTTGATAAAGACAATTTTAGATGAGACCCAAACAATATGCAGCTTTGTAAAACACAGCAGGAGGAGTATGAAGCACAGTGGGTGAAATCCCTGCGTCACTGAAGTCAGTGGCAGAACTCCCACTGACTGGCATGGCACAGAGACTTTGTCTCCACAGAGATCCTCTGAAAAACATCGTGTATTACCTGCTGCAGCAGCAAACCTAGCTGTCTGCAGAGAACAACAGTGCTGCCTGCAATGGCTACCTCTTCAGCAATTTCTGTATAACCGTGTTCACTTTCTACAACCCCACGGTCAAAGCGGTATTTGGATATGCCCTACTTTGTGCATGCAGTCACCAACCTGAATGCCTGGAAGAAACTGCTGCTGGAGTTCTTTAAACCAGTGCTGCAGTCTGACTGTTAATACCTAAGTTGGCAATACCCAGCAATTTCTGTTCTACATAGTGGTTCATCAGCTTTTACAGTCAATGTGCTGCTGTCTCGGGCTGAAAATAATGACATCGAGAGAGCTGAAATATGGCTAACCTGGCTTTAGTTGCAATAATAAGCAATTTGAGTTGTGTGGGTAGAAAGATAGTTTGCAGCTAAAGCCTGCCTGAAGATGCAGTAAGTAAAACTACTGTCACGAGAACTTTTACCTGTCATTGCTTTCCTTCCGTAGCTGCTAGCAACTGCTTTTGACAGTTGCTTTCCTAATAGCTTCTGCATTACAATTATCCCTTGATTACCAGACTGTTTTTTATCCACTATGGTAATTAACTGCCTCTTCTGGTACTTCTCTACCCTCAGTGATCTTGGATATGCAGCTTCTTGCCTGAACCACAAATTATGTTCAGAGAGATTTTATAGGTGGAATAACAGGTCATTTGCCAATGATGAAAAGTGGCAGGAGTACACGTTAGCGAGCGACTGACGTCATGTTTTCCAGTTTCTTACAGAACCGTGTACAAAAGGGAGGTTCACACCTGCAAGTCACAACATGTCTGGTGCTAGTAAGATGGATTTAAGTGTTTGGAGCATTGTTCTATAGATGACCATACTGTACATTTAACCTTGCACATTCTGGGCCACAGGCCAACACACCCACAGCAGCAAAAGCAGGAGCAAAACCTTCTGTTAACAAATACCAGTAAAAAACACCTATGCAGAAGCTGCCAAAACCCTGTTTGGTTGTTACTGTTCCAAAACCTCTTGCAGCTGATGGTCAAAGCTGGAAGCATCCTAAGCAGATATTAATGTATTCCCCGCCCCAATAGTCCGTGAGGTCAAAGCCATCCTAAGCAGATATTAATGTATTCCCCGACCCAAAAGTCCGTGAGGTCAAAGTGGTGACAGGTTTATATTCCACTTCCTTTCCCCATTGACTCCTAACTTTAAACAAACAAAGGGTCATCGATTCCCCACAAATCTCAGCCTTGTTTTAGCACTGCAATAACAAATGTGTTCGCACTGCAGTCCTGGACGATTCTCACTGTAAACATATTTTTTCCCTTTTATCTAATAGGTATTTACTTCCACGGCTGCAACTTGGGCAAAGAACAAGATTGAAATCCATGGCTTTCGCCACACCAGATATGCACTGGGCTAGCTGCAACGTTTGAAAGCCACGCTTGTAAGTATGCAGCATAATTCTCCAGTCGCTCTTGCCATTATCAGGCACACTGCTATCTTTTTGGGTTGTGCTAGAGGAGTCCAGTTGATACAGAACTGGGTACTGGAGCAACATCTTTGCAGGTGACACCTCACCCTCAGCATCGGTGTTTTCCTGCACTAAGGGCCCAGGATTAAGCTTGTTTCCACAAGCCACAGCAAAACTGTCCCCATTAATACCAACCCTTGCTCCTGCATGCCAAATGGTGTCCTGTTTACCAGTCCATGATCTTTGAGATTATTTTCACTCTCCCTTTTTACAGTGCACTATAAAGGTAAGCTTTATTTAAATAAAGTTATAACTGAAAGATAACCATCACATGCTGAACCCCCTGGTAACGTCTGAACTGTACTGTATCAGGGACATTGATTAAAGCCTTTATTAGCACTCAGGTTAATATCATAACCTGTTTGCTGAGTTGACAGATAAAAATACTAAACGGTCCCTTGAAAGTCCACCTCGGACATGTTTACTGCCTTACATATTGCTAAACCTTCACACAATTCCTGCCTGATAAGTGGAATATAAAAACATTACCTTTCTTATAGATACCAACATTTTGGTTGGTGATTAAGAGAATTAATCTTATATTAATAACACAGAATTAGGAGTCAGGTTCGTAAGTATCTAAAGATGCAGATTGTTGCCCTCAAAATGTACCTTCAATAGGAGTTAGAAAACTGTCTCTTAAACAGGATACAGAGAAGGACAGATCCATAGAAAATGAGCAGCTTAGGATCTAATCCTGAAATTTGCAGGAACTTCATTCTGCAAGAGGCAGTTCTATCTGAAGAATATTGGGCCAAGAGATAAGAGACGCAAGATCTCTGTGATGTATTTAAGCATAATCTACAGTCTAGGAGAGGCAACTGGAACAAGGAAATGAGGCAGTTCCATGCGAAGTAGCCTTTACCAAAGTTTGCAAGGTTGGGTCTCAGCTCTGACTTTAAGAATGCTGAGCTTTCCTGCTTTTCAGTGCAGTTGAAGTGCGGTGAGGGCTCTGCAACCCTAATCAAGTCATAAATGATTACGCTAAGAGCCATGGGGGGAATGATCAGAGACTGGACTTAGGCACAAGTAATTACTGCTAAGCTTTGAAGCACCGGCAGTGTTTTTTCACCCCATAGTCAACCCAGATGTTCTTACTCTGACTCTTCCTCCTTTTGTTCCTTCAGGCTCTCAAGCAGAGATTCCTCCAGGACGTCCAGCTCCTCCAAGGGGATTCTCAGCAGCCAGTTGATGTGGCAGATCAACACCCTGGCTCGAGCATCGTAGTACCCTTAAACATAGGGAAGCCCAGGAAATCAATCAGTCTGCATTGCACCAGATGAAACAGCGAGTGGTGCACTCAGCTGTGCTAGAGGACCACATAACATACAAGCATAGCTCCTTCCCTCAGGCCCTCTTCACCTTCCATGTATTTGAAGACAACTCCTACTATCTAGAGAAAAGAGGGATAAATGGAAGATCCTTCTTCCCTGCAAACCTCATCCTGTGAACAGAGTCACTACACCAGGTAATTGCCTCTATGGCAGAAAAAGGATCTCAAATCCTTCGGTCTTCATCCTCTGTGATAGAGGCGTTTTGGCTCCGGACTGCATCTTTCTCAAAAGAGAAATGCTGCAGCAAGACCAGTCCTAACTGGAAATATCAAAAAAAAAAAAAAAAAAAAAGGGTAGCATGACACAGTACACCTCAACTATGCACCAATATACAATATCTTGTAAAAATGCACTTCCATACAAAACCTTTATATTCAATTCATCTTGTTGACAGCAGGAGGGACCCTGGAGTTTAAAACTACACACCGGCTCACCTAGCAGCATCACTGACAATTGTTTGCATTTATACTTCACTGCAGAAGATGCGGGAATGGACAGTGCACTCAGACAACATGTGATACGAGTAATGATTACTCCTGGGCTTATAAGCAGGTGTTCTTAAAGAAAAGACATTTTAAATGTAATAGATTTTAAATTATTTGTGCCAACTCTTGCTTTTTTAATGTGTTTCTCTCAGTAGCACCTGCTGCTTGCTGACGGTAGGCTTTTGTAAAGGGTTCTTGGTGCACTCCAGGATGAAAAATGCAATTGCTTTTCTAGGCATGGATGAAGACACCAGCAAGACCAACTACAAAGTATGTTTCTGATACCCGCTGCACGTAGATCAAATATGGCATTTGGCAATCTATTGAGTTTATTTATTTATTACCATCATTACCAAGATACCAAACTACTTCGGTAGGCTTTAATGACGTCACTTTTAAGATCTGTGCTTAGTTGAGAAATCAGGATAGTATTTATCTTCACTTCATCCCCAATATGTGCCACGTCTTGCAAGCCCAAGCAGGTGTTTTAACAAGTAGTTTTCTTGCTTCCTGTCTGCTAATACACAACTTAGCTTTTTACTTAGCCAGCTTGGCAGTAAGTCAGCAAGGCTTGAAAATATATTTCTTTTAAATTCCAGCTTAGCAAAATAAGCAGTTTTGCAATAACTGACTTGTCAATTTTCCATTAAAAATAAAGCAAGAACAAAAATGGTACTTTGTTCTGCAGTGAAACAGGCTAATCAGCAACCAGTGAGTTCTTTCCTGTGAGAACACGTTAAAACACAGAGATTTAAAAAATGCAAGTAGTGATATAAAACAGGCTTCTTTTAGAAATGAACATTTTGTTCAGTAGGCAGTCTTTAATTCATTAATTTTATCAGACTAATTCATGTTATGGATTGTAAACCAGAAAATTGTTTTATGCATAATATAATATACGAGTAAAATCACATTTATTTATAATAGGTTTCACAGGACACTCTGGAATTTATTCCCTGAATATTTTTTTTTTCTTTTTAGGCAACAAGCGATCTGCAGAAAATTTGCTAGGTTGAGATTTTCATAACAGCTTTACTGCCTTTCTAAAGGAAGAGGTCGCCTGCTCCCTTGGAACACTGGAGAAAAAACACCTCACTCTAGGTATTTCAGTTCAGAACTTTTCTACCATCACGTATATTTGCATGCCAATGCACGGCATGTGAAGGTAAGGAGGTGAACAGTTGTTCAATTTTGAACAGGTATTATTAATTATTCCTAATATAATAGTTGCTTTTCCTGTAGTGGACACAGGGAGAGAGCGTGCTGCTTTTGCTATAAAGGAAGCTAAGACAAAAGAAGATGGTACCTTGAGCTTTTTGAGCATTTTAAAGTATCGGATGTAAATGCATCTACATTATTCTTACAAAGAACAAATGCTAGGTAAACTTACCATCTCTAAGAGAGAAGGATAGAAGATCCTAAAAAGAAAAAAGTATATTCAAGTTAAAACTGATGACATATGCCCAGAGGTCTCAAAATGGAGGCATAAAAACTCATTGGACTATGATCTAATTACTGCAGCATGTCAGTTCATAAACATGGGAAGCCAGCGAGCTACAATTCAGTAGGGCAGCACAGAGCAAAGCCAGATGTTTCCAGTACAAAATTCTCCGTATGCAGGTGAAAATGGCTGGACAGAAGTAGATAAGCGCAGGATAGGAAGGCAGTGCCTGCTTGGTATACGGTGAGGCATCCCATATTTTTTGTTATTAGCGATCCTGTTGCAATTCAAAGCACCACGATTACACCATACTTCAAAGTTTGGAGAAACAGGGCTCTAATCCTCCTACCACTCTAATGCCTTCCGCTCGCTATGTAGTCATATATACTCGTATTTTCAACATGAGTAACAGGTTTGAATGCTACTCTAATGGACTAGTGGCCCCTATTTTCTTTGGCATTCTGGGAATTCATAGCTCTAGGCGGTAAGGCTGAACTAGCATGAAGTTCTTTTGTACTTGAGATTAAGTACTCAAAAATAGAAAACTCAGAATTTATGGCCATCTGTCAAGTTTGAGGGACTTGACTTCTGTGTGGCTCTTCATCGTAAAAAAAATCGGAAAAACAGATCAATCCAATAGATGGTTTCTATGGACAAATCCATGAAAAAAGAGGCCAGTGGTTTTACTACTCTTTTCTCCTCTTTTATTGTCACTGGATAAATTTTAAGTTCTTTATGTAACTACAACACTAAGCATTAGCTCAGTCTCGCTACTTCCCTCTCCTACACACAAATAAAGCACAGCTGAATTTTACAGGGAATCCTTCAGCCCTTTGGGAACACAAAAAATGCAGCCAAAGATGTAGCATGCTGCCAAAGAGTTTATGATTATTAGTCCCATAAGCTCCTAAGCAAAATTTCTATCGTAAAAATGTCTCTAATCTTTTCCCTTCTGCATGAGAAGTGTAGAAAGGAGAACAAGTCTTCCTTAACCAACTCCCACTAGAAGAGGGGCAAGTAGATATTATCGAGGCAAAAGTAAGTGCCTGGACTCTGAATATCATTTTAGCATGAGAAGCATCTGCTATTTCATAAAGGAGAAGAGAGCTGTTGCATAGGACTAGGGAAACCAAAGGATTAGGGCAGCTGAACTCCCACCTGTGGGTGCTTTTTCACAAGGTATAGCCCCAAAACCTTCGCTCCACTGCTGCCTAATGTTTTCACACACACACCTCTACTGCTGAATATCTGGGTGGCTGTTCCCATCCACAAAGAAGCCTTCTTTTGCTTGCCTGTCCTGCAAATTCTAATGGGATAAGCATTTCCAGAAGGTATCTGTTGGGCTGAGCTCTGCCCAAAGCTCCTTCATCCTGCATCCCAATGGCCAGAGCGCTCACCCAAGAAAAGAGAGCCCTGGTTTGCTATCTCCAATGTGCGAATAACCCTTTTAATTTAAGTTAGTCACTGAATCCGGTTTCCTCTGTTCCCCCAATCACCACGTTGCAGAAAAAAAAGGCTTCTTTTTAGGTCCGGCCACGATTAGTATTCTGTGCGTGCACACACGCTGCAGCTGTTCCCCAGGCTGGTTGGTAGGGTGTGGGAATTGGAAACACTAATCCCTATAGGCAGAGGGAGGAATGTAACTCGGGTTTCCCAGAGCCTGAGTGCTGTAACTACCCAAGTATTAGATACATGGGCACCATCACCTCCTCCCTGGCTGCAGTTTTGTGAGGAAGGGTTGGCACAGAGGTGTCAAAGCCCAGCAGAAGGCCCAGGGCTGGCAGTCCCAAGCAGAAAGCTGACCAAGCAAAGAGCCTGAAGTCTAGAATAAGGTGAAGCTTGTGACCTTGTTGCCATAATTTTCCAACAGGCTTGTGGTTTGTGCAGAGCCCATTTGTAGGCAATAAATTCTCCCTCTGTATTGCAAAGGGAGCCGTGGGTCTTGACTCAGGTCCTGTACGATGTGCCCAGCATCATCTGTGGCACCTAATATCACATAATCTCCTTTAAAAATCTGGTCTAAGCATTTATATACATGTATTTCAAAAGGTGAGGGGTGGATACAGGTAATCAGTTGATAAACTGGAACTACTGCTTTTACTGCATCTGTGCCAATTAGCATTCTCAAGTATTTCTAATTGGTTTAGGCTTTGCACGTACTGCTGTGCAGTCATCTGGAATCCAATCAGCATTGATTAGATTAGTTCACAAGTAGTTTGTTTTCCTCCTCTAAGCAGCAGTTATTATATTTCAGTCTTATTTTGAAGTTGGTGTTTTGGATCTCCCTGTGAACTCTATGCAGATGACCACCTATATGATTGAGAAACCTTACAAAGAAAGGGAATCCATCTTTATTCAGAGTCTTTGCCAGCTTTTTATGAATTGCTGCAAGGTCAAAACCCATTTCCTCAACAAGAGAGAGAGCATCCAATCCACATCCCAGTGGATATGTGTAAAAAAACACAGGAAAATGGGCATTCTAACTATGTTAAGAGCAAAAAAAATTATTCATACTAAGAACTTTCAACATTTTCTCACCTACCATCACTTCTTCGCTCTTTTTGTTGCACTGCCTTCTCATACTGCACCCACAGCCTGTGTGTTATGACTACTGTCCTTAAAGGATTCAGTTAACCAACATTTGCCTATATTAGTCATCTGCAATGAATGCAAACAAAGGTAAAAATCCATAATCCTCAAATTTTCATTGAGCTCACCTCTAATCTCCTGACCTCATATATCATTCCTTTAGCACCACTGAGATGGAGGGCATTAAAAAACGCAGGCACTAGTGCTGACAGGACCCTGCCACTGAACACATTAAGCGATTAAAGTGTGTACTTGTTAAATAAACAGTAAGCGTTGCGTCAGTAGCAGCTGAATACAAAGAAGCAAGAGCACTATAAAGCAACATATCAAGAATTCACAAAGCTTTGTCCCTGTCGTGGTTTAACCCTAGCCAGCAACTAAACAGCACACAGCCGCTCGTTCCCTCCCCCCTCCTCTGGTGGGATGGGGGAGAGAATTGGGAGAGTAAAGGTGAGAAAACTTGTGGGTTGAGATAAGAACAGTTTAATAATTGAAATAAACTAAAATGGTAATAATAATAATGATGATAATAATAATAATGAAAGAATATACAAAGCAAGTGATGCACAATCCATCACCCACCGATGCCCAGCCAGTCTCCGAGCAGCGATTGCTGACCCCCAGCCAACTCCCCCAGCTTATATACTGAGCATGACATCATATGGTATGGAATACCCCTTTGGCCAGTTGGGTCAGCTGTCCTGGCTATGCTCCCTCCCAGCTTCTTCTGCACCTGGCAGAGCATGGGAAGTTGAAAAGTCCTTGATTATATCAGCACTACTTAGCAACAACTAAAACATCAGTGTGTTATCAACATTATTCTCATGCTAAATCCAAAACACAGCACTATACCAGCTACTAGGAAGAAAAATAACCCTATCCCAGCCGAATCCAGGACAGTCCCATAGCTTGTTTATTTTCAGGTAAGAAGGAAAAAGCTCATCTCAGCTTGATACACTCGAGTTTCCCACAGGCCAGTATGCTTTCCCAAAGACACCTTGCAAGCCTCTGCTGCTTTGCTCTACGAAAGTCTTTAATTCTGTCTTTCCTTTGACAAAATCAATCACCTTGCCCATATACATGATTGCATAAGGTATTGATGTTGTGGCATTAGACTGATAGCTATTCCTGATCTTTGCTTTCAACTAATCAAAAAATTGTTATCTTCGGCTTCTGTATTCCATCTGCATCCAGGTGATAAGTGCTTCAGTTCTCTGGCTCAGAGCAAAATACCGCACGCTCCCACTGATCCAGAGCCACTTTTGTAAAAGCACAAGGAGCCCTTATGCAGCATAAGCTCAGAGCAAGCAGAAGTTAAATTTCACCAAAATTTCACCCTTAATAAACTCAGCAGCAACGCAGGAAAACTTGCCTAATTCTAGAGAATCCATCCTGAAGCAGAGAGGGAAACAACCTGGGAAATACCAAGCCATCTAGATGCAGAAAGAACTGAGTGGATTTATTGATTTTGAGCAAACAACATCAAAACAGCTGCTCTTATTTTAGAAGATCTGTCCTAACTTATTAATTAAGCTTAAAATTCTTTGTCACTGTATTTACGCTGTTATAGGACTTTGGGCATTGTAACATTTGAATGTTTGGAGCAGATCCTCTGAGGCCTTTTATGGACTGACTAGAGGACACGAAAGATGGCTGAGATAATGGGAGCTGGCCATGATGACCAAGAAAGTTCAATCCTATCATATCTTTACTTGCGCAGTCTTGTTCTCGCATCTGCTGTTCTCTCGAGCCATTGCTAAAGGTGAGTGCATGATAACTATTACTCAGTATCAGAGGTCTGTCTGCACGCAGGATGCCTCGCTATTTCCTTGTGTGCAGTATACAGCGGAGGGTGCAAGGTGACAGTGGCCACGTTATGCCTGGCATCAGCAGCAGCCTACTGTGCTCTTCGCCCCGCACATAATGAGGCTGGGCGAGGAGATACCTTCCCCAGCTGAGCCTCTGCAGCAAAGGTGAACGCCACTGAAATACTTCAACTCTTTTATCTTTATGTCAGCTTTTACATCAAAACATTGCGGAGTAGTCCCAGTCTCACTAATACTTTCTCAGCGAAAGAAAATAAAGTCACAATAGCTTATTTCCTTCTAGCCAAAGCTGACTCTGGGAAAAAGACTCTGAGAATTGTGCTATTTGGAGTATGTATGTAGAGGTGCTTTGTATTACCTCTTCGTGAAGGGTATAGTGAAAGGGCTTTGAAACAAATGAAAATCAGGCCTATCGGGTTCAGTGTTTCACCAAAATCTGTAGAATGCACTTACGAATCAAAACCACTGCAATAATACAGTCGAAGTAAAAAGTTTGACAGTTCTCTGTTCTGTAGAGTGGAAGCATCGAAGACACAAAATGTTAATTCAACAGACAGTAACTGTGCCTCATGTTCATCATTACCACAAGCTGTTAATGGATAGAGGGACTGCCAGTCGCCCACACAGCTGCTCAGAAATATATGCGTATCAGAAATACTGACTTTACTTCCTTGCCTGTACAAACAGAACTTCAGTTGCAAACAGACACGTATGCCAAATCTCTTTTGCAAACACAAACAAGGGCGAGAGAAGCATATGAACTTACTTGGGTAATGACAACTGGATTTTCTTTCAAGATGGGATCCTTCAACAAAATCTGGGCAAAAGTTTCTGTGCCCTCACCTCCTAAGCCGCTAGCAAATGCTGTCATGGCAGGTAAGACAGCTTCGGGCAAGTCCAGCCATTTCACAAAGCCCTCAATGAATTCTGTCCTGAAGGAGCTGTAAGGCAACAGTAGCAGTTAAGGCTCCGTAACTGGGGATTTTTGCAAACTTTGAGCGGTCCCTGCTTTCAAATGTTGATCTGTCGCTGTTCACACAAAATTCAAAGCGTAGTAAGAAGTCAGCAGAAGGTGAGTTGCTACACAAGCTGGCTAAACAAACAAGCCAGCAATCTGAATGGAGCTAAACCTTTCTTCAGTACATACTTTGAAGTCTGCACTATTAAGGGATGCAATTTGTGCTGAAGTATAAAAGTCTTAAAGGCGTAAGAGAGAAAGCCAATACAATTAAGAAAACACCTCATGTCAAAAGGATCTTCCACTCCCCCAACTTCAGAAGACCGCACACAGAGTCTGATACCAGCTCTGTCCGAGCTGCTACCCAAAAGCCACCTCCTTTGCTCACCCCTTGCTGCCCTGTGTGGTACCTTTGCTCTTTTTCAGGGAACAGCCATGCTAGGGATGTCCCACAAAGTGCCGCATAAGCAAATCTTCCCGGTTCACCCAGCTGCTGGCCCAGAAGCACACACGGTTCTTTGTCGCCTGCCTGTTCAGCCCCGCCAGGCTGTTTCGAAGCCCAACCTTTCCACTTCTCTTCTGCAGCCATTTTTACCTGCAAGTTCAAAGAGGAAAAAGCAGAAGAAAAGAAAAAAACAGTTGGAAACCAGGAAGCAAAGAGACAAATTGCCTTTGCTTTTTCACTGTCACACTTGCTGTCGGTATTAAGTCAAGTCTGTCAAGGTCCAGCTTGTGTATCCCCCCACATGGTGCTGTGACGAAAGAAGACAACAGGAGCCTTTCTGCTCACCGATTCTCAAAAGTTTTGCACAAAATGGGCTGACAATACTTCACACAGCCAAAGGAGAAATCTCCTTCAAGATGGAAAGAGACTGGGCTCCGTTCAGGCATATCAATCACATGTTTACTGCAAAAATAATGTCTAAAATAAAAGCTCTGCCCCTGGTGCAGGGACCAGTACAGCTGCCTGGGAAATAATTTGCCTCTCTCATCCTCAACCCAAATTGCTCCTCTGTTTATTTTGCTGACGGCATTAAGAAAGTTGAGTCCAGCTGCAGCCTCTGATGAGAAGGACTTTTAATGCGTCCCATGGACATTGTTATGCTTTGCTTGTAACATTCTCTCCTCTATACAACCTGCCACTGCTTTTTCCCTAAACATAAGATCCCTGGACCTTGAGCTGTGCCAAATACTATTTTTTAGAGCGCAGACATGCACGCTTCCAACTGAACGGCTTACAACTGCTCCCTGGGAGCTCCCCTAATTATACAAGCAGCTAACCGAGATGACTGAAATCAGGCAGACGGGACAACAGCTCATTTCACAATTCAACGTGGGTAACAATCTGCTCCACAGCTCGCTTACATCACCTGAAATTTCTACTGACTTCATCAAGATTCAGTCAGTTTCCAAGGGGCCCAAACCACCTATTTCATTATATACTTCCTATTTAAACGTTTCCTTTCTTCTGAACCCTTGTAGAAAGGTAAGCGGCTAAATAGGAATTAGGATCCCATGACACTACAACTGAATCTCAGAGGATGCAGACACCATTTATGGGACAGTTTTAGAGTCTTAGAAGAAAGAAACGCAGCACAGGAGCAGCTCTTTTTAAAGAGATTTTATTATCTGCATGCCGTCTGTCATGGTCTTCCAGGAAAGGCGTCTGTCTTGCCTCCCTGCTCAGAAATTTATTCGAGGAGATTCGTAGTTCTCAAGGCTTGCACTGTTTAACTGCTGATGTAGAAATGCAAAGAAAATTCATCACTCAAGGGCTGATGGTTACCGTAACTCGCACCTCTCTCCCTGGGAGAGCTCAGCCCACCACAACACGTATCCCCCGATGCCGTCCGTGGCTTGAGCACACAGGTCTAAGGCATCTCGGTGTGTTTCCATGGAAACACCACATTCCAGCAACATGGGAGCACAAAGTCCGCAAGAATAAATAAACTCTGTTATTTCCGCACCAACCAGAGAAGGGAAGGGCCAGATTACGCTTCCCTGGGGAGACTGGGCACCTGGGATCAATCCCGGCCCCAGCGGGCTCGCTCCGGTACCAACCTCAACACGCAGCACCACTTACGCTTGCTGAATTGCAGCGGTGAAGGTGGCACGAGAAGTGCCTCCATGCTTTCCAGGACTTTCTTACAAAATCCCAAGATTGTTTTATTACCTCAGGAGTTTCAAAGCCCTCATTTGGACCCCCAAAATCCATTTCACATCACTCGCTAGGCTCTGATCTTCCTAAAACATCCAGACTTATGGACCAATTTGCCCAGAAATAATCTAGCGCTTAAAGTTTCAATAACTTTACAATTAGTTGGCATGTCTGGACACAAATTTATTAGCTTATTATGGGAGACAGCATTGAAAATAAAATCCCCTTCCCTGCTGTGATAGATTTATTGATTTGTTAACACAGGCTCATATTAAAAGTGAAGCAGCTAAAAAGGATCCAGAAACAGTACAACTGTTTAACCTTGTTTCCCAATAACATAAAAGATGTGAGCAATTATGGAGCGACACCATAGTGGCTTCTTGCATGCAACTTTATTGCCATTATGCAACAAATAATTCATGATGCTGAGCATCTGGAATAACCAGAGAAAGTTTCTGAAAGACTTTGCTCTGAAGATGCTCTGATCAGTACGCTCGATATGCGTCCCTCAGCACAGGTATCTATTTCTTCATAAATATCTAGGAAAAAATGGGCTTGGATTTTCAGACACGCAGCATAAAAAAATGGCAACATGTGATTTAGTAAAGAAAACTTGGGCCAAGAAGTTTGGCCACTAAATCCAAGATGAGGGAACTGAGAGCTAGAAATATATCCAGAAAGTTATTTACAGCTTGTGGCACTGGAATTCACGTCTCTGTCTCGAACAATGTGACTCAGTAATCAATAGCATTGCCATAATCTGAACTGCCACTTGAAAGAGAAATTTTTTATTACTTCCAGCACTCACTTTTCACACAAAACCCTTTGTTTTCTTGAAAGGTGGTGTATAGGTTCCCAAAATCCTATTTGGAAAGTGGAAGGATAATCCTTTTGTGGATCTAAAGCTGTACAATACACATGTGCTCCCTGCTGCTGGAAGAAGAATTACAGAGCTGCTGCCATCACATTCATCCTAAACTATGACAAAAGTGACCAAACCGCTGACATGTTAATCTTCAAGACCCTCAAAAGTTAATGAGATATCTTATCAACTTCAGAGAAGTAGCTGTAGATAATTATTCAGATGGGGCTGGCCAAAAAGTCCCTTACCAAGGCACACTGAAGGACGGCACGGCCAAACTGCAGTTAAGCATCAGACACCGTGACTGCAGAAACGTTTGGGCAGATGAATTTTCCTGGGGACTCGCACTGGGCTCCAGAGCCACACATGTGCTTACATGCTGGGAGCAGCACGGTCTTCGCTTTTAATCCGTTGATACGAAGTACGAACACGGAATGCAATTAGTTCAGTCCCAGATAAAATCGCGTCTTGCCGAAAAAACATGAAAATGCGATACAGACCGCCGCCGCAGAGATGCGTGCTAAATGTAAAACAGACATCAGGGACCGAGGGGACGGGGACAGGGAAAAGCTAAAAGCTTAAGTAGTTGCAAAACTGAGCACGTTTGAGCCGGTTAATCCCGATGCTTGTAGCAGCAGTGACTGAGAAGCGATGTCAGTACGCAGAAGGTGGGCAAAGCCGCGGAGAGGAATGTGACCAGCGAAGAGAAATCACTAGCGGGAAAAACGTGACGGAAACACCTCAGCTGGGAAAGTTGTGAGGACCAACATCTCCACAGCTGCCGATATTCACTTCCATCGCA